GGATGAGGTGGAAGGCATCCCCATGCTTGTAAGCCCCCTCTCCCCCTGCTCCCAATGCTATTTGGCCACCCTGGCACGCCCTGCAAAGCCGCCCCTGCCCACGGTACCCCCAAGTTCCCCCTGCCATACACGCCCCGCAGCACCAAACCCCCCGTGATGAAACGCAAAAGAAGGTGCTTTCCCACCCTGGCAGCGCCCCCTTGGTCCCTTTGCCCCCTACTCCGATTGCAGCCAGCACCCAGGGCAGAGGAGGACAGGGGCCCTGAGTGACACCCAAAAGGGGCCACTGCCAACTTCCAAGCTGCCAGATTCGCCTCGCCCCCGGGGTGGCAGCGAGGGTGCTCTGTGGCAAAAACCCAGTACTGGCAGCTCCAGCCCCCAAAATTGCAGCATTTCATCAGTCTTCATCTCAGCGCAAGAAAATCCTCCCTGGCACAGCCTGACTCCCACAACCTCCCCTCACCTTAAATTATGGCCAGCAGTATTTAAGTGTCAGTGACTTAAGTAATTTAATTACTTAATACCCTCCTTTTGAGGTCTCATTGCTCAGGCAATGTAACTCCTCCAGACCTTTCTTGAGGAAGGGGCTCTGGCTGGATGGGAAAGTGCAGAGAGTAGCACTGCCCTGCATTACCCACAGCAGGGTCAAAACATCTCTTGAGGAACTTCCCAGAGACTCCCAAACCCCCCCCAGCTGCTGCCACTAACAAGCCTCAGTCCCTTATCAATCGCCACAGCAAGTCCCACATTTTCAGAGGTTGCACCTCCCTGGTGGCCCCCAGCACCCCCTTACTTATGGGAGGTTCATTCTTACAAGTAGTACCTAATCAGATAATTAAGAAAATCAGCTGTGCCCTCCCCACACCTAGCCAGAGCAGGTTGCCTTATACCCGCGTGGCACTGCTGGAGGTGCTGGGTGGCTGCAGGCTGAAGTCTCAGCAACATCTAAAGTTTTCTTTGCTGCATTAATTTAAGTGCTGGCCTCTCTTCTCTATAATGAGTTTATTCATTGTTTAGTTAATGGATCCCTGAGGTGGCAGGCAGCCTGAGGTCTTTTGCTTTTGGGGGTGCACCCCACCTGTCCCTCAGTCACATCTGTCTCAGGACAGGCTCTTGCTCTCCTGTGCTTGCATAGGCAACCAGGAGGGACTGGAGCTGCCTTCAGGCTCGATGACCTGATTCCTTCTTCAGTGCAGAACCAGTGAGGGTTGCTTTCGTGACCTTTGGTCCCAAGCGCTCCCTCCAGAGCTGCCTGCAATGCAGCAGAGAGGGAGAAAAGCAGGGGAAGTACCAGGCAGCCCTGGGTCCTTTGATACCCTCGAGTGCAGAAATCACAGGGTGGCCCTCAGAAACTGCTCAGCAGGGGCCGCAATGTAGTGCTATCAAAAAACATAAAGACCAAAAAAATTCCTGGTATGGAGCTGGTTTTGGTGAGCTTCCCTGCAGAAGGAGCATAGAGAAACTGAGGTCTCTTCCAGGCGTGTCCCCCCCACCCCAGCCTGGAGCCCACCACAGCCCCAGCTCTGCTCTCACCCTGCCCTGCTCTCAGCAAAGCCAGTTCCTTTGTCAGGATTTGTCCTTGGTGCAGGGTCTTTTCCCATCTTGCTTTTACACTGCACTCCTCCTGGTGGGTGCTGGGGTAACCAAAGCTGGAGCCTGATCCCCCCCCAAATCATCATGGACATGAAAGCCAGCTCCTGGGTTGTTCCTAGGCTGCAGCGAGCTGCCCAGAGCAGACACAGACTGTATGCCAGGGAAATGCTTCCCATATGCCTTTATTTGCAAAGTTACAGGATTTTTTTTACAGGCACTGTGCATTGGTGTTTCAGACCGGTTCAGCTTTTTCTCTGTATTACCAATGACCAAGAGGGGAGGTGGGAGCAGGGAAAATCCCTCACAGCAACTGTTCCAGCCTCCAGAAAGGCATAAGACATCTGAAAGGAACAATCTGCTTCTTCTGAAGCCATGAAGCAAGGAATCTGGTTTATAAACAGGTTTAAAAAATAATATACATATATAAGAGCAGCTCAAAGCTAAAGTACAGCAATAACTGGTACATACCTATGCATATCTGTTCACACCCTTTCTCCAAAGCTGAAAAAGGGATGGTTTAAAAACTAAAAACACAGTTAAAAAAAAGAGGGATTCCATGCATTAAGTTTTTAGTGTTTTGTGCAATTAAAATGGGATGAAAATAAATATAACTTAAAAAAACCTCAACCTTTTCCGTGACACTAATGGAACAGAGGCAAGTCTATAAGGCACTTCCACACGGGCTATTCTAGAAAGCCTGGCAAACAGCTAAAACAGTGCAACCATTTACAGTGGCATCAGATGAGCTGAAGACATCTGTCTGGTGAGATGTGAACTGAGAAAATCTTAGGAGACTTCAGTCCTTGGGAAAGAGGCTGGGGCATGGCTACAGACGCCTCAATGGCCAACTCCTCCTCCTTACTGCTGCCAGGAGAAGACCTCCCCCACCGAGGATTCTGGACCGACTGAAGGATGGCAGAGGGGCTCTGGAGCACCGCCCCCAAGGAGTGAGATGAGACAGTTGGGATGGAGCAGGGGAGGGATTTGGGGCCTCGAGCTCCTGCACCGCCTCCAGTGCTGCACACTCCTTCTGCCAACACCAGGGTCTCCCTGGTTTGTTCTGCAGCCTCCATTCCCCACCAGCCCTTCCATTGCTGACCCTTAGTGATCCGGCACTGCCGAAAGCAAGCCGCTTAGTTCAAATGTTCCAGGAAGTTAAAAAAATAGCCTCTGCCCTAAATAGGGAACTGGTGTTTTTGCAGGAGCGGGAGCACAGAGGCCATATGCTCAGCCCGAGCAGGCTGGGATGCCAGTGCCGAAGCCAGCTCTGCGGGGAAAAAGGGAAGGCATGGGGAGGCTTGACGCCAAATCTGCTTTGCCAAAGACAACTGACCCAGCCACCTCGAGAGCTGCTTTGCTGCTGTAACCCTTCACCTGCTGCTGGTAAAAATTATGGAGATGCTCCAGGCAGCAGGGTCACCCTGGGCCAGGTGCAGGCATTAGCGTCACTACCCCTACACGCATGCTCAGCTGCTGCCAAAAAAGACTGATCAACTTGGATGCCTACTTTAGGTCTCATAGTAGTCCCTCATAAGCTACTTTTCTCTCCCCCTGCCCAAAGTCTTTATTCCCCATGAAGGCCTGGAGAACCCACCTAAGGATGGCTGGAAGCAGCTCCTAGAGGGGAGCTGGGTCTCTAGAGAGGAGCTTTAAGCGTTAACCACCACACCAGTGCTTCCAGCACAAAGGAAGCACTTGGCCATGGTAAATAGCTGTGCCTGACCACATGCCCCCAGCAGGAGGGAAACCCTTGCCCTCCAGTGCCACCTGAAAATAACTGAGCAACCTCCATGGGATGTCTTGAACACAAGAAAAAATCCAAATCTGCCCTTCTAGCATGTCTTAAGGACTTGGCACAGCCAAGTGAAAAGTGCTGGCAAACACAACTAAAGGCTCCTACCCCAGTATCCTTTGCTGTCTCCAGGCCTTGCTCATGCATCCCAACTGCCAGAGGATCCTGGCCACAGCCACTGAGTGTTTTTGGGACAAAGCTACCAATCCCAGCACAGGGAGAGGCTCCTTCCTCTGCCAGTCCTCTTAAAGGTCCTCTTAAAATCAGGCTGTGCAAGAGGCAAGAGTGCGAGTGGCAAAGCACACACTTGCCTAAGCAACCCCTCCGGGCTGCTCCCGGCCACAGAGCTGTGAGCTCCCACTGACTCTGCAAAGCCAAGGTTTCAAGTTCAGCTTTTGTTCTGGCAGGTTAGCTCTCTATTTACATAGAGAGGGAAAAACAACCCCAAACAGGACAACCTAAAAAAACCACAACAAAAAACACCTTAAATAGGGAGAGTATAGCTTTCAAATGGGAAGGGTGAGGGCTGGAAAGTGTCTTGTAGTGCAGTTCAGAAGAGTCAGTCGGGGGGCAGGTTGGGGGTAGTGGCAGAGTTGGACACACGGCTTTAATGCAAGTCTTCACTCTGGGACAACTCTGTCAGGATCTGAATGAGGTTGTCCAGCCCCCAGAGGTAGCCGTCCTCTCTGTTCCCTTCCACCCAGGGCACGTTGTGCTGGAGAACTTGTCCCTCCGGCAACGGGGTGGTTTTCCCAAAGTCAATCATCCAGACTTTGGCCTGTTCCTTCTTGTCGTGAATGAAGAGGAGAGAGCTCCCAATCACCTGCAGAGGGGAGAGATCAGTCAGTGGTGTTCCTGTTGCACATTCTCAGCCAGCTTCAGGGCTTTCAGACACCTTATCTCAGGCTGCATTTGCAAGAGGTGATGCTGAGATTCTGCATGAGCAAAAGCAAGCTCCCTGCAATTGCTGGCTGTGTTTGCATATGCAAATCAGGTATTCAGACAAGCTGATTTGCTCATACAAATCCCAGCTCCTGGCAGGAGAGTATCAGAAAAACACACACATGAAAGATAGAGATGTCATTCTGGAAACCCAGTCAGGGTCCCCAGGGAAGGAACAAGATGAATTGTCTCAGCCTTCAGATGAGAATTTTTCCAAGGCCAGTTCTTTGTGACCAACTCGTGCTATTGACACTCACCAGCCCTCCAGACATCACTGCAGGGATTGGTATGCTCCAAGAACAAGTTACTTGCGAAGTGCTGTTTCCTGCATGAAACATCATCAAATTGCACCTAGATTCCCCCTGGAATATCCTCCTGGCTTTCACAGTACTTTGGGGATGCAAATTACAGAGGTGCACGTACATGAATTTCCTTTTCCATTAGTTCAGTCCACTGCATCTGCTTTCAAGGGGTTTTAGCAGGTAGTACTACATAAAAGCACCAATGGTTGTGCTTCAGAGCTGTCCCAAATAGAGATTACTTTCCAAATTATGTCCAACGTGAATGACTTGGTGGATTATGAACTCACTTGCCCTTGTATCACAAATAGGGATCTCAGTGACCAGAGCACAATGGCTGTTAGCACACGGGACACAGCGTTCCTAGAGCTAGGAGAAGCCCACACCTCACAGGCCACACAGACACATAGAGGAGTGCAGCTCTAGGGTCATCCATCTGGTGTCAGCCCTCCAAAACAGCAGCTCTAAATGTTACCGGGGTCTCCCACGTCCATGCTATCACTGCAGTTTAGTTTGAGGTTTGCCTTTAGACAAGGGTTTTGAACGGGAAGCATGTACTTGCAAAGGTTATTATGAATTTACATTTTTGAGGAGACTCCCTCCTCCAGTGCAATGGGAAAATGTCCAGGGTCCAGAGATATGTATTATTTCCCAGAAATGCTTATCTTTAGCTCTTCTCCTTCTAAGCTCTTATAGCCCTCTCTTGGCCAGGACAGAGCATATTAACTTTAAGGAAAAGCCTTTTGCTGACGTTCTCTGCTCGCCTGTCTCGAGTTGCTGAATTCTCCTGCAGCTCCTTGGAGGAGCTGTGACCAGTGAGGGCCCCGCAGAGCTTGGCAGACATTCTGCTGCGCTTCATCTCAAAGTGGGACAGAAAGTCAAAGGTGCTGCTTTTTAATTTTTAAGGAGTGGAAACTCCTTTCAACACCCCCTTGAAAGGCTGTTTTGTTTCTCTGTTTACAAACGAAACCCTGGCACTTGGTTTCAGAGAGCATTTTGTTTCCTGTGCTGAGCTGACCTGAAACCCTCGTTTTTTCCTTTCCCTTCCCTATTTCACTTCCAATGCCTTACAGGTGCTGCATGGTCCTATCTGCCCCTGGCTCCCAGCAGGACCTTCTGTATGTGGCCAGGGCCAAGGTGGCTCACATGGCTTTGGCTGAGCGACAGTGGGCTCTTGGAGCTGTCCTGCCAAGGACACGTGCTCTCATGTTTTGTTAAGTAGATGCAATAGCAAATAGACTTTGCCAATGCTAAATCAATAAAACGATTCAATTAAATAACAGAGCATTCTTTTTTTGCTGTAATGGACAAAAAAGGTAGCACTTCCTCTATGTTTTCCCACAGGAACTGAATTTTCACAGTAGAAAATGCTGATTTCTGGACATGTTTCTAGAGGAACGTCAGTCCAAGGGAAGAGTCCTGGCCATGGTGCCGCACCCAGCTCAGCAAAGGCAGTCTTGGGATGATCTACAATCTACAGCTAAGTAGAAGCCTTGTTTGTACACATGCAGCAACTGGCAGCTAAATGATACCTGACATGCTCTCAGACAGACGTTTCTCTCCAGAAGAGCCCTATACTTTTACATTAAGGATTTTTCCCAGCCATATAAACCCATAAGTAGCCCAAATTCCTCCTAGATCACTTTTAATCTGTATGAACACTGGTTTTCAATAGATTTAAGTACATGTCAGATGTGTAAACATTGTATCAGTCATCAGCCATATTTCCACTTGAGTATTAGATAAACATGGGTATGAAAATACAGATGTAATAAATTCAAAGTTGTAGAAAATTACAACCTCTGAATTTGACTCAACCTCTCTCCTCGGACAAGCTGAGATTAAATCATTTGCATTTCCATGCAGATGTATCTAAATACAAGTATTATTACCTCATGGCACTTGAAAAACGGGGAAGTCTCCAGGGTAGCGCGGATACCCTTCAACCGGTTAAGGTAACTGTTCTGGAATTACAAAAAACACCAAGCCGTCAGTGCTGTGGGAAGTCTACATAAAAACTGCCACATGGGGCAGACAGGAAGGTCACCCCCGCCAGCATCCTCTCCATGATACCATGTTGGCACGGAGAGATGCTGGGGGTGTCCCTCAGCCACCCTGTGCTCAGCATTCTCCCATAAACCTGTCCCTGGGGAAGGTGTCCCCTCTTTTTTGGGATCCACTTATCCTTTTGGCCTCTATGGCATCCTGTGAGTTCCCATGGCTTCCAAAACTTAGTGAGAGCATTTCTTTTTGCTGAACTGGTGCTTTCTGCAGACTTTCCCCACTGCATTCATGGTGTTCCCGAGGAGGACACAGCCAATTCAGCAGCCACTGCTGCCAATGCGTAGCCAGGCTGCTTTTTCCTCTCACCTGCACTCTTTTTAATAGGTCAGCTCTTCACCTCCTCTGTCGTTCTATCAGTCACTCAGTCAAGCATCGTGAGATACTTCCGTAACTCTGCATCAGCACTTCTGCAAAGTTGGTACCATAGGTGGAAGGGCTTCCACACCAGTCAGCATGCAGGTCAAGACACAGGCGTCTGTTTGAGCATCCCTGCAAATTGCTGGAAGGTACTAAACGTTCTCCAGGATCCCTTGGATAATTTGATTTTGAGGTTTAGATGGAAGGACTAAGCACAGGAGCACGCACAGCCAGTATGTGGGCACTATAATATATCTCAATTTTCACACTTTGCCTGCGTGGGGAGATGTGGGGGTCACTGTATTGCAACATTTTGGCCAAGGAGCCCCATCCAGAACCAGGGCATGATTGTGTGAGTGTGCTGCAAGCTCTTCGGGGACAAAATTAAGGCAGGCAACTTAATTTCCAGATCCAGGAATAATCCCTGGGTAACTCATGTCAAAGTGAACGTGTTGGTTTGAAGGAGGCAGTGCCAAGGGCCATTCCAGCTGGAGCCTTGCATTTGTAGGCTTTGTATAGTACAGCTTAGAATGGGAGCACTTTGTCAAACAGGATATTTGACACAGTCGGTGTAAACTGTTTACAGCTACAGCTCTTACTCTCCTGGCAACATAGAGAAACTTGGAAAATGCTGACTGTGGCTTGCCCATGCAAAGAGCGCCTGGCGTAGGTAGAGGGATGCCTTGACCACCCGCCCTGCGAAACCAAGCGTGGGGCAGCTCGCTCTGCCAGGGTAGGAGCCCCCACGGCCCACACCATCATATACTGGGGTAAAGAGCAGGCTGCTGTCAGCCCCAGGGATGAGGGCGCAGAGCATGGCTACGCCTTTGCAGCAAGTTTTGGGGCCAACCCTTGAGCATTCTCAGCAGACTTGGACCTGGTCTGAGCAGTGCTGCTGCAGGAAACATGTCCCCTCCCAGCCCTCCCCTCACCTCCATGCCGTGATGGCATTTCTCTGCCATTTTTCATGCTCTTTTTAAGAGAGATTTCTCAGGCTGCAGCCTCTCAGGGCAGGGAACCGACGAGCTAAGGGCAGCTTCCACAGGAGGATCCTTCCCTCAGTAGTGCCCCCAGCACCCACTACTCACTAAAACATTGCGGTTTCCTCTGGTGAACTCCCTGAAGGCCTCCATGACTTGTTCCTTTGTCCGTGTCTTCTTGAAGTCCCGGTTCACAGTGCCGTCCTCTTTCTTGAAAAGAAGGGAGAGCGGTGAGCAGGATGGGGAGGGAGTGAGCTGGGGCAAGGATGGGTGTTTCAGCAGCTACGCATGTCCCTGCGTAGGATGTGACCAGCCTTGTTGGTAACTGAAGGACCTGTCTATGGAGGAGGGGTGAGAAGAGGCAGCAGCTCTCTGCCTTGCACATCCCAAACCATCTCGCAGCTCCACTGCTTTGTCCCTTAAGGCAAACACAAGTCTTCACCATCATGTACTTGTTGAGGTCACCAGCAATGTGGACAAGCCATCCTTTGTGGACTGGGTATTCAATGCCCACCAGCGGCTGGTGATCACCTGTTTCTGGCCACACCATGCCCAAAAGGCTTCCTGTCGCTGCTGTGCCTGACCACAGGTGCTGACCAGGGCTGCACCCTTGCTTAGGGAGGAAAGCAGAGCACAACGGTGTCAGGACACAACTAAGCGTGGATGTGGACAACATCTCAGAAGCAGGCACAAAAACCCCTCGGCACAAAGTCCTCCATGAACCACCAAATCAAGGAGATGAAGGCAAGAAACTGTCTTGCCTCACTAGTCCTTTGATAGCCTACAGATCCCAGACCCTCAAAAGCAGCAGCCTGGCAGCGAGACATAGCAAGCAGCCTCGTGCTCTCCTCCACCCCTTCCCCAGAGGCACATCCATGCTTGGCTCATCACAGGGACAGCATGGCTTGGTCCACTGTGGGGACAGCAGACAGCCCTGACCCAGAGGCTCCTGGCCGAACATCTGGGCAGCTTTGTAGGTCACTCGCCATTTTCCCGCTACTGCTGGGGCTCTGATTTTTAGATCGGCGCGTTTCATTGTATGGAGCGGCCATGGGTCAGGCAGGCAGAGCTCGCTTCCTGGATACAGGGGCTATTTTAAACCACACATGCTCGTGCTCACAGCGCCACTTGCAAAGCTCCATCTCACTGCTCCAGACAGCTCATTTGCACACAATAGACTGAAGGGACAAAAGCCAAAAAGATATCCTGTGGGCTGGGGAAGATGAAGTAAGGATGAAGAAGCAGAGCAGAGGCTAAGAAAGGAAGAAAGCAGAAGGAATCTTCTGCCCCAGAGGTTTACGTGCCCTGGCAAGACTTTAAGACTCTTCCAGGGATGTGCCCTGGCATGGGGCCATGTGCATCCCCCTGTGCGGGGATGATGGCCGGTGACCAGTCTGGGTTGGGGGCAGGCCAAGCACCCAGGCTGCGGAGAGCTGGGCAAGGCAAGCTGCGCAGCAAACCCACACCCGATGTGCAGCTGGGGATGAATCACACAGCTTCCAACTTCCAGCTTGTGTCTTGTGCAAGTGTTAATGAAGGTGGTAATGAAAGCAACGTGTGAAAGATCTTAGTCTGCAAGAAAAGCTTTGTTTACAACTGATGTACCCAGCTTCAAACCACCCTGGACCCAGCCTGACCATCTCTCAGCCCTGCACCTCAGTGCTGCCACAGGGTATGAAAGCAAGACTAAAAGCTGGCAGAGCATGCATTGGCAGTGGCCAGGACAACCTTCTTGCTGGAGACCTCTCTGCCGTAGTGGCCATCCTGCCACAGACCAAGCAGCACCAGGATCTCTGCCTTCAGCTGTGTCTCATGGATGCTCTGGGGGCACACGCGTGATGTATAAAGGGAGGGCGCTACACTGCTATACATCCGTCACAAGAGCCCTGACATGGCAATTCAGAAATCAGCCCACCCTCTCCCCAAGGGGATGATAGGTACCAATTTGGAGAAGTGCCACAGCACTGATTTCACATGTAAAGAGCACAATTTTCCACAAAGCATCCATGAAAGGAGATGGACTTGTAAGTGCTCCTAAAAATAAATGAAAACCACAGATGGCCTTTCAGATAAGGCAATCTAGGCTTCAGAAAAGCCAAACAGCCTATCTGTAGTGCTGCTCCCATAACTACCCACCTCCTGTGGTTTCCTTGCCCAGTCAAATGCTGCTGCTGCAGGGCTGACGACTGCCACGACATTTACAGGTGTCCGAGCCCCGAGGGGGCTGGCTTCCATACAGCAGAAATGTGAAGGGGGCTGATAAGGGCTATCACAACCTCCACCTCACCAGCGATTCCAGTTTGTGCTGGTGTCACTGGGACAGGGTTCAGGTCAGCTGGTTCCCCCTTCAGCACTCTGTCTGGCCCCAGATGGGGCTCACGAGCCACCCATCTTGGGAAAATCAGGTGAGGGTTTTCAGGGCTGGTTCTGGGACCCCACAAATGTCTCAGCCCTTGGGAATATCGTCCCACTGTGGCCTTGCCACAGGCAATGGTGAGCACCTCTCAGACCAGAGCAGGAGCTTCAGAGCAAAACTTCTTGGAATGAGCTCCAGGAAGCAACTGGGTCACCAAGGATCACTTGTATTACTTTTAGCAGGGTAATTTCATTAATAGCTACTGTTTCTAACAGCTTCAAGCTACTCCAAGGAGTGAGATGAGTGTCATTATTTCCTTTTGCAGAGGAAAATTTTCATTTTAAAAGAAGAACTGGAACCTCCAGGCCACCTGGGAAGGCAAAAGCTCAACCAGGAATGGGTCACCCCCGCCCACCTGCACTGTCCCAAAGGCCACCACTGCTCTCCTGCTTCCTCTGTGCCCCCTTCCAGCCGTGCACCCAGGGCCAAATCCTGCCCTTCCTTCACACAGGAAGGTGCTTTCATGCATCAGCCTCTGGCTGCGAGCAAGGGGCAGGGCAGATTCACCCTTGCTCATCCCAGGGAAGCATCTGCAGCAGGAAGGAAAACATGGGGAGACGTATCAAATAATATTATCCCCAAATTTTCCTCTGAGGGATCAGTAGCAGCCTCAGGGCACCAAAGGTGCTTTCCCTAATGTGGGCACTTGACCCTGAAAACAGGGCAAATGCAGGGATACATTGCAGCACGACTGCCCTGCTAGAAAAGAAGGAAGCCTGGAACCAGCATGTACTGTTAATGCTTTAGCTTTGGGGAAATAATCCAGAAGTTGAGGGATTTAAGGAGAATTACCAGTAATTAGAGCCTTGATCAAATTAGTCAGCCCCTAGCAGCAGCAGCAAGAGGAGGAGGATTACTCCTGGAGGCCAGCACTTCTCAACATTTTTCAATTAAAGGGCTGCCTCACCTCTTTGAAAAAAATCCACTGCTTAATCACAAAACAGCTCACTTACTGGTGGCTAAAACAGAGGTGCAACTCTCACCATTTCTTTATGACTTTTATTTCCCTCCACAGTGTTTTTTTGGCCTGTGTGAGAATATGATTGGGGTTTTTTTGTTTGGTTGCTTTTTTCCACATTTTTCATTTCAAATGGTTCACATATAACCCTGCTTCTGCCTTAAAGCCCCCTAAACATCCCCAGATCACAGGCTGAGAAGCACCGCTGAAGGCCAAGGATACAGCATGCTGGACTATAAATAGACAGATATTCCTGATTATAGCAAAAAAGCAGGGAGAAGAAACAGTACATGGGAGCTTTTGTCCCAGCTGGCCCTCTCCTTTTTTATACAGCCTTAGTTTTATAATAAGCACCAGCAAACAGCAGCAATGGGAACTAGGCAAAGGGTTATCCTGAGCTGGAGCAGCCTGCAGCATGCTCATGGGTGTCCGTGGCAAAAAAAAAGGGACTTTGGGAGAGCTGGGGAGATTGGGGAAGAGCTATGGTAGTAGGTAAGTGCCCCGACCCAATGTAGGCACCTCAGAAAGCTGCTGTTGGGAAGCATGACCGGCAACATCCCAGGCAGGTGCATGGGAGTGGCAGGGGTGCCTTGTGTTGCTCATGCCGGAAAACTCTTCAAGGGGTTCAGCCCAAGGGCTGCTCCTTGGGTTTCTGAGAGTGGTCGAGTCAGAGATAAATGTCCTGTGCTCTGCTGGTCATGATCTAGTTGAATAAGAAGGTGCCCTCCTCCTTGTGCACAACATGCTCTGCTGGGCTTCCCACAGCCCAGGGACTTTGTCCTGCATAGTAGGACAGGTAAGTCCCTTCCTGCTGGTGGTTTGCTATGGGGGTAATCAGTAGTAGTGGCTCTGAGTGACCACTCCTGCTGATCCCCTTTTAAACCCATGGTCTAACATCTGCATTTGTTTGCTGTTTGACCAGAGAAGTAGAGGGGAACGCTACCAGGAACATCTACAAAACCTAGTGTAACGGTTCTTTTCAGGGAACGGCTTCATTTGTTTTAATGCCTCATGTTTGACACCACTATCTCCAGTCAGAAGAGGTGCAAGAGTTTAAGGCCACAAAGACCCAGATGGACATTCTGGGAGAATCTCATCTGACCCAGAGAGGAGAAAAATGATTTGTGATCAATACAAATTCCTCCAAGCAAGATACATGTAGAAATCAAGCCACTGCTTCCATTAAGAGTGAGCAGCTGCCCTGAGCTACCTCCTGGGCCCCTACAGCAGTACTCTAAGCTTGAATTACTGCAGGCATGACTTGGCTGAGCTTCCCTCAGCTGCCAAGCCAACACCATGCCCAGACATGCAATGAAATTCTTAGCTCAAGTGTGATATTAGCTTTAATTCATATTGGCTGGCTATCAAAAGGCATATGCCATTGCTAAATGCTCGCAAGTGTCTTCTATCACAAATACAACTGCTCTGCAGTTACAGACCTAACTCTGTTCAAGTGCCCTACCAGACAACTCTCTCAACAATCTGCTCACCAGGAGAGAAACTCCTGGGCTGGCTCATCTACTGGGGACACAAAAGCATCCCAGCAGGTATCTCCAGAAACATGAGTGCTGCTCTGAGCAGCATTACACATGTGTGCAGGTGCCAGCAGAGAGTGCTGCTGCTTGTGTTTGTACCATTTCATAGGGCTCAGCTGCTGAATTTTTCCAGACATGGATGTAAATACAGCCTCCTTACTAACTGGAGCTAAACTCACAGCTCTAACCACAGATCGGCACATGTTCAAGCTGGGATTTGGATTAATGGCTCATCCTAGCAGCACAGCAGCAGCAAAAGCAAACAAATAATTTGAATCTTCGAATTGGAGGATGGCACTTTGCATTTCACAGTCAGGAAAATCAACCAAGTGGTTAATTTAATGAAATTATCGCTAAAACCATCCTCTTACATTGATGCCCTGAGCTTAGCTGCACACTCAGAAGAACAGCACTGCCCCAGGCCAGTTGCCTAACAAGGATGGTTTGGCTGCAGGGACCAGGGCTATCCTGATGTGACACAGTTTCATCATGAGCCTCCTGTATGTGAGTAAGTTTGGTTACTGAATGCTCTAGCATTTCCCCCTGCTCTGCCCACCTGGAGTAGCCTCACCTTTATCCCCTCAATCCTGAAGCCCAGTGTGGCAGTCGAGCTGATGGTCTCTCTCCACTGCATGTAGCGGGGCTTGGTTACCGCCCGCAGCACATTCTCCTCCTCAGTGGGGGCATCAGGGTCCACCTCGATCATCTTCTGGTACATGTCCTTCCTCAGGCTCGGCTTCTTCCGGGCCTTTATCAGCTCCTCCTCCAAGTATGTCCTGCAAGGAGTGAGGGGGAAACATCAACAGGGCCATAGGGCTACCACATGAGCTGCCACATAGACACAGAAAACCCTTACCTCAAAAATCAGGCCTGTGCAAGATAGCTGATTCCTGGGAAGTAGAGCAACAGGAAATAATGCAATTCACTGCAGGTGAATTGATCCTGATATAATTAGCACCCCATCATCAACAGTTGCTATCTTTTCAGTACATCAAGAAACCACAACCAGTTTGACAATAACAAGAGAGGTTATTTCACATAGGTGCCCTTGGCATTGCTGCTGCTGCCACCTCTTAGTTCTGGGGACCCTGTTCCCCAATGCTCAGTGAACCTGAGCAGTGACTTAGTGGCTCTCACAAACTAAACATGGCTTTCAAGTTGTGTCTGGCAAACAGCCCAAATGCTCTGGGACTCAGCTGAGTTGAAGGCAAGAGGGAGGTTGCTGTGTCTCAGCTGTCGGCGTTAGCTGCTGCTCCCTCTGAGGTCTGGCCAATGTGGGCAGCTGCTGACAAAGCTGCTCCTGTGCCTCTCTTGCACTTTCCCATCCCCTAATGCTGTGCACTGTGAGGGCTGTGCTTCACCAGCTACCAAATGGGGTGTTTTCATACAGGACTGTTTTACTGCTGATGATTTTGGCCAGTATAGGTCTGTTTGAAGTGGACTATCTAGCAAAAGCTTCCTGTATGGGATGGAGCAGGGGAAGGGATGTGGCCTTGACCAGGTGCTTAGCATAACCCCTGGAACACAAGGTGCAACTGAGATGGGGGAAGGAGGATGGAAGGTGCAGAGTGTGCAAAGCCCTTGGTTTTATGCACCCTTCAGAGGAGCACCACTCTGTGCCAGAGCACACTGGTGGAGAACTTCTCTATCCTGATATGCAGAAAACCATCATCCATGAAATACTACTTCCTGCAGCAGTAACAAACCACTACATAACTCCTCTTGCAGCACCCAGACCTGCCCCAGTTCAGTCTGGCCAGTGTGCAGGCTCTCTCCAGACAACTCGACAAGCCAGGTGAGATGTCCCAGCAAAATGACACGGGAATGACCCTGCTCGTCACCTCCTTCCCCACCAAATCCAAACTGCTCTTCACCTCCCAATAGCCATACCCAGCTCTGCAGAGGGGCTGTGCCCTCTCCTCCTGTCACTTGTGCCAAAATCCTAGCACTGAGAGTGCAGTTCAACTCCAGAACTGAGCAAAACGCATGGGGAGGATGCTAGGCAGACTATGTGGGATGCTGCTCCTGTGTTTCCCACAGGCTTAACAAGGCAAACTGGTGTCTTTTCTCAGGGCAGGTATATGATTGTCAAGTAGACATTCCTGGGGCATCAGCTCCTTTGAAAAACGTAGCAGATAAAAGCAATGAAGGGTTTCGGGTGAGATTGCCAAACCCATGATTTTTGGACAGAAGGAATAAAATAGCAGAATTAAGCAGGAGTGCACTCAAAAGTGCTGCTCACGCCACTCAGAAAGCTAGATTTTCTTCTGATGAGAATGACAGAGTGTTTATGTCTGCGGTTTGGTCCCTCTATTGTTGCTCCAGGCTTGAACCATCACCAGGGCTTAAGTCAGACAAAGTTTCGTTCAGGGGCAACCGGAAGAGACTGATGCATCCTGAAAGTAGCTTACCAGGGAAACCCCAAGCCTTTATCTGTCTGGCAGCAAGCTGCTAGCTCAGAGGAAAGGCTTAATAGCCCTGGGGTTTAGTTTATCTGCCAGAGCCTCTCCTGCCTGGCTGTGGGGATGCCCCACTCCCCAGCATTAGCCCAATTTACCCTCCCTCACCAGCTCCTTCTGTTGCACCATCTTAATGATGCTCAACCTTGCCTGCTCTGTCTATCTTAGCTCCAAAAACACAGGTACACAAATCACTCGACTTGTGATTTGTGGGTGTGAGGCTTTCCTCTTAGAGACAGCCTCAGGAGCAACTGGGCAGCATGACCAATGGGTCTTCTGGTGGCTGTCATTTCCAGGTCCAGAGTGGGCCTCATCTCCTTCCCGCAGCAGCATGGTATGTGCCAGTTGGGGACACGTGGTTGTGCTGGGGCCCCTTGCCCTTCTCTCCACCCCTCTGGTGGAAAGTATTCCTCAGCTCTTCCCTGCCGACAGCCTGACAGGCCAGTTCAAGTTTCACATCAGGAGTTCAGGAGGGGGAAAAAAAGATTCCTCCCTCCTACAGAAACCATCAGCTTTTCCAGCAGCGCAAGCATCTCTACCCCATCTGAGCTGCACCTTAGCCAGTGAAGGGGATCTCAACCTGCCCTGCTGCCAACTGACCCAAGGCTGAGTGGTGTCCCAAGGCTGCTCCAAAACTAGCAGCTGCCTGGGGTCACCAGCCCTGCTCACATTTGCTTTGGGACACCCTCATCAGCTGTGGCCTCACTAGCTTAAAAACTGCTGCTGGCCAAGTGGCTGCAGCCTGGAATCTTGGTGTATCTGTAGATGGTTCTTGAGAAAGACATGGCTAATGTCGCCCATCTGTTAGGAAATGTTTCAAGAACTTTGCATGAAAGGCACTAAACTATTTAGCACACACATTTTATCCCTCAAGTGTGTGTAGAAGCAAAGGGTGAGCAGAGGGAAAGTCTCTTGCTCACCAAAGCTGTGCCATTCAAACGCCTTTATTTCACCCCTCTGGCACCCTGGGCAGGATCTCCCACACCTTTTGCTTCCTGCCCCATGACTGTGTCCTCCTGAGGCAGAGAGGGACAGGTTGCCATCCTCCTAAAAGCTATTGTGCCATTCTGGCATACCGAAACCTAAACAGTGACCTGTCCCCTCCACTGCACCAAACTACTTTCCTAGCACATGGGATACTCAACAAGCAAAGAAGAAATGACACTGCTGTGTCCTTCCCCTGCCCAGGCTTCCCCACAGCCACTTGCATGTTTCAGAGGGTTTTACTGAGGAGATGCATTTGCTTTCATTATCCCATGTTAAAACTCAAACAATGTCCCCAAAGCCACTCACCTGACCCCCATTTTGCAGTCCATAACACAGGGGGAGTCAAACTCAGCCAGCAGATCTTCCATCTGGTTGTATCTCTCCCCATCCTTCACAACGTCACCATGGTAGGCAGGAACATAGGGCTTCAGGACATCATTCATCAGGCGGTCGAGGCAGCGCTGCTCTGATTCACAGTGCTTCTTCAGTATCCTGCCGTTGGCTGCTGCCTTGAAACTACCTGAGGATGACAAGGGACAATGTGGCACTTGCTTTGGATGTGGAATGATGCTGTGCCTTCCCAAAACAAGAAGGGCAGACCAACACCTTGGATGCATCTCTTTACACTGGCACCCAAAAAAGTCCCCACAGGCTGAGACTTAAAAGCTCAGGCTGCCAGATTCACATGTAGTGTCACAAGTTTACGACTGGCAATGTCACACCTTAAACAGGGCAGAGATGTGCCCTGCAGCCCCTGACATATTTGCTTCACAGCCTCTGTGTACTTCATGGTGGGTTCACACATCGTGGCTTTGTCTCTATGCTCCTATGTGGGGCATCATTGTGCCGCACAGTGTCACCCGGTTTGCCGTGGATCAGCAAGAGGGCTTGGGTCTCACCCACAGGACTCAGCTTTCTGCTGGTTGAGAAAAACGCAGCAGTAATACTCGCTGGCCATGGGAGCCTGAAAGCACACAGCACTGCACCTCCACATCACCCTCCCTAGCATTTAGGTAAGTCACTCTCTTGGGATGGAGAGGTGGGAGCAGAATTCTGTGACACTCTTGCAGCAGTCAGAAGCAATTCTGGCCAGCAAAGCCCATTAACCTGAGATAACAAAGCGCCTTTTCCCTGCTCTGCCCCTCCCCATGCTCTGTACCTGCATGTCCTGCTAGCTGGATCCAAGGGTACTTCTTCTTGAAAGACATCACAAACGGGGACCAGTGCACCATGTTCTTGATCTTCCGCCATGATTTGCTCTAAGGGGAAAAAAAAATCACAAAGGTCAATGTAACGCTCTAGGTTTTTACTGTCCGTAAAGTCACTTCAGGCAGCATGTGGCTGTTTTGGACAGGGGAGGAGGCACCGCAGCCAGCGCAGGATGGAAGCAAACAGAGAGTCTGCTCTTTTCCCATTGCCCTGTGCCAAGCTGGAGCCGCTGGGCCTTGACTCTCAGTTCAAAAAATCACGAGTAACTTCACTAAAGTGGATGGCATTACAGTGTTGTTTCAGTTGGCTGCTTCTGCTGCAGAGGGACCAGCCATCCATATTACCTTGTCTCCGCTCCCCACATCCCTCTGCAGAAGCAACACGGATGTTAACCCACCCTTGGGTACCGCATTAGATCACGGCAGACAGAGAGAGGAAGGGAGCCCAGGATTTCTATACAGACACAGAACAACTCCAGCTCCCACAGGGATCGAGAGAGGCTTACACAAGCGTGCCCAGGCTCTCTGCCTGGCTTTTGTTCCCCACTGAAAGGCAGCTGCTTTGTCCATTAAGCTGGCAACTTATGCGCTGCTGATCTGCCTGCGTTGGCCCATCTGTAACTACATTTTAGAGAACAATTCCCTTCTGACATGTTGTGTTTCTCGCCAGACAGATTGCACAAAACTATTCACATGACTGTAAAGAGGGCTGCATCGGACATACGAAAGCCTCCTTCGAGGGCGCTTTCCTGTAAGAGTTTTTCCCTGGATTGTTCTGGGGAACATGCTGTCAGCAAAAGGCAGGAGGATGACCTCTTATCTCTACCCCAGAAGGCAACGGTGCAAACAAATCAGGCAAACAATATACAACAGCAACAATGGAAAAATGCCTTCTTGCAGGAGCTGGGACAAACAGACGGCGTAGTCCTGGCTGCTCCGAGCTACTGGGTTCAGCCGGAAGCCCACAGATAAATTATCCTCATTTGCTCTGCTCTGAAGGCATGGGAGGTAGCCTTCCAGAAAGCCCAAGTAATCTCTTCCTTGTGTTTGGAGAACCAGCCCCTGTTCCAGTAATGCTTCACAGACAGGCGGGGAAGAGCCAGCAGCCCCGACTTGCAGCTTGGTGGGGGTGAACTCATGGCGCAGGAATCCGTGCTGAGAACTGCTGACATGTTTAAATGGCGAGGAAGAAGTCAGACAAAGATGTTAGTGTCTAAGGCATGGAAATTACATCGGGTTACCCTGCGCTGTGCACCACGCTTTGCATGGGGACACAGGGGCTGCCCACACAGTGGGGACCAGGGGTAGGAGAGGGGAAGAAGAAAGCTCTTTCCCCATCTCCCAGCCCAGGATGACTGCCATAGCTGGGAGCGTCCCAGCATGCCCTGGCACCGGTACAGCAGCACAGGAGTTTGGCAAGCAGCTGCCCCAGCACGGGGTGACACCGGGCATTCCCTTTGCCCAGGCTCCTCTGCGCCACGGGTTTGCTCTGCCATCCGGCTTGCTTGCTTTGGCAGGAGGGCCGGGCAGTTCCCTACCTGACATGAGGATGAATGTTTTTATTTCCAAACGGAGTGCCAGAATTTGTGCACTTTAGCTGTTCTTTGTTCTCCTTTTGGCAGAGAGCGGAAGGGAAGCGGGGG